AATGGCCCGATATTTTAGCTATTATTGAGGAAACAATAACTAAACATTTTCTGTCAGGGTTAGAATGATTGTTTTCTTCATTATTTTAGTTATCACAAATTTTTAAGAAAGCTCGGATCAATCGTTGTATCAAGATTAATTTAATAAAATAATATTTACCCAAAGTCTAGAGTTCCTATTTTACCACGTCCAAAGCTTGACTTCTTGGACAAAAATTCTAAAGGTTTTTATTTTATTTTATTATAAAAGATTTTTATCCTTTTAATTCCTATAATTATGCATTCTGATGGTGTAAACCTTAGGTTTAAACTCAGACTATTTGTTTAAACCAGAAAATTTTTTGTTGGAATATATTTAGCTCTAGACTACAACATCAGGTTGCAAAGATATAAGGATTAGAAATTAGTTTAAGGAAAGTAATCAGTTTCTTTTAGTTATTTTCATTATATTGATTGAAAAAGGGATATAATTAGGTCTAGACTACAACATCAGGTTGCAAAGATGTAAGGATTATAAATTAGTTTGAGGTAAATAATCAGTTTCTTTTTTTAATTTTCATTATATTGATTTGGATTGGGAAACTTTACCAGAGCAGTTAATAAATAAAAAGAAAAAAATAATTGAACAATGATCTAGAAATAGTTCAACTAGACGTTCCTTTTTTCAACTACTCCTCGGTATTTCTTAATTCTGAGCATGTAGTTTAAGAACTCAACTTAACTAGGGTTTCCAACGCAAGTGAATTTTACCTGTGCGCAATTTCGAGCCCTTTAATTACTCGCAATTCCACACAATTCCGCGCTATTCAAGCACAATTCCGCGCCATTCAAGCAGAATTCCGAGCCATTCAAGCACAAATTCTGCGTTTGCAATTCCGATTGGAAACCCTTAACTTAGCATATTCCTTGCAATATCTCTACTTAAGTTCACCTTTACAATCCGAGTTTATAAACTTCTCCTCCTCCCAATCAGAGCTTGAATCCATCTCCGCCATTTTGTTTTCTGTAAGTATTCCATAATTTATTTTCCCATTCTCTTCTTTACTCTTTCCAGTAGTGGAGTGCACTTCGAGGCATCTTCATCAAACTTGTCAAATGTATCTTCTCCTACACCACTCTGCTCAGCCTTCCATTTATCCCCTGCACACCTGACAGGAGAATTATCAGGAGAATTATCAGGGGAAGGATCTCTAGATGTTTCCGGGGTAGATTTCAAGAATTTAGGTTCAAGTTTCAAGGGGAAATTGTTTCTTGATATTCTACCCCGCAGCTCCGGGGTTGACGTCTGAAAATACAAATATTTAGAAAATAAAATAAATATGTTAAAAATTTAGAATTTAAATTAACTTTGACTATCCTTACAAGGAACAACAGATGCGCATTTTTTATTATTTATAATCATAAGAGGTGAAGCTCGCAAATTCAGAAAAAAATTATTATGATAAATAAGAAACTCTTGCGCCGTAAAAATAAAGAATCCCATGAAACATTTTAATTTAATAGAAAAATCCCGATTGTCACAAGAATATTGGCGTTTGCTCTCGTGTCCCCAAACTCTTTAAGGTACATGGTTACTCAGGATGAGACCTCAAAAACGACTGTATAGAATTTGTTGTCAGTATTTTTCCAACATTCGTATAACATCAAAGACTATATTTCAGACAGACCTTAAGAGTTTTAAAAATTTAATTTTCAGGTAGACATTAACGTCTTATTATTTGTGAATAACCATGTGTTCTCTTAATAACATTATATTAAAATATAATTTACCATTTGTTGATTGAAGTATGATGAAGATGAATTGTTTAGATCTATATTGTTCCCTCTATACACGCTGAAGGGCTTCTCACTGTTACCTATTATCATATGTGGATAAATATTATAAAATTCTGAGGGAAACCAGTAACTACGGTGTAATTTTTTTGATTTTACATCTGGAGAAGGCTAATTTTATGCCTCGAGTAGGTTGATTTTGTGCCTGGAGTAGGTTGATTTTATACCTGGAGTAGGTTGATTTTATGCCTCGAGTAGGTTGATTTAGTGCCTGGAGTAGATATATTTTATACCTGGCGTAGGTTGTTTTTTACCTGGTTGTTTTTAAACATGAAGTAGGTTGATATTATACCTGGAGTAAGTTGATTTTATACCTGGAGTAGGTTGACTGTTTCCCATAATTTCATCTAGAATACCAGACATCTCAGAATTATAGGTTTCCTCTAAAATAAAAGAGGTTTCAATTTTACTTTAAAATAAAAAAAGTAATAATAGTAATAAGATTGAAGAACATATGTAAACATTCATTGAGAGTGAACTGCAAGAACAGGGGGTAGGGTTTGTTTTTATTTTAGTAAACTATAGCGTATCAGGACAACATTAAAGTAAACAGGGATTCTTTTTCCTCCATCCACTGCATTTACTTATAATCTTGAATATTGTTTTGATAAAACAAGTTCTTGGCAGTCTTGATCAATCACAGAAAAATTTGTACACAAGCTACATTTATTCTTTACTTAACTTTTTAACTCCTTGTTAAAAATGACGGTTTTCAGAAGAATGAGAAAACAACAAGAGGGGTTACCTAAGTAATCTCCTAAATTAGTTTCATCGTGCTTTCTAGATTTCTGACCCAGCCCTAAAAATAATTTTTTTTTTAAAAGTGATAATTTGGTATTTTGTTAAAATATATTCTTTTTCTTCATCTGAAAATTAAGAGTCCCCCCCCCCCCCACCTCTCCCGCCTGACTTATTTTGTTATTACCAAACAGAATTGTGAATTTTGGCAGGAAAGTCGATTATGAAAATGGCTTATTTCGAATTTAGGGTTAAGGTACTTTAAATTTTAACTGCTGATGTCCATTGTAAAATGGGACCCATAGAACTTTGGAATTGGCAGACTACTGATAGTCTCAAGTTATGATTCTTAATAGTCCACAGAACAAATATGCAGTGCAATTACACGTTTCTTTAAGGTTGATATTTCAGCCTCCGGAAAAACTATTTGCTTAAGCTTTGTGACAACATCATTTACACATCAAACTGCTGAAATGTCGTCTTCCTATTCCAATATTTAACGGGTCAATTTATAGTTAGCCTACATGAATACTCAGTGTTGCTGATACTCATGGACTCCATCTCCTGTAAGAGGCTATCCTCCACGCTGAATACATCAGATCCTTTAACCTTCGGCACAGCAGCCTCAACAAGACAGCTTCCAACAACAACCTCGAAAATTCAACATTATTTTCTATTTATTTAAAGGGACTACAGCCGAAATTTCAATTAACCCTCCATTTGTAGAGTTCCATGTTAAATTCGCAACGGTACCCTTTAAATCTTTTTCCAAGCAAGGATAGAGAAGACATCTTTATTCTGACTAAAGTGAATAAATTAAGTTCCGGGAGACTCGAGGTTAAATGGCATCTCCATGCTCATGTACATTCGCGGTTCCCAGTAAATAAATTTTCAGTTGTAAAAATAAGAATATCATTAGATTAGATAAAGGTTTAAAGCCAAAGGGTACCGTTGCAAATCAGACATGCAATAGAGGCGTAAGTAAAATTATTCATGTACAAGTTGGTAACAACACAATATATAAATGATAAATGGAAATTAAGTCTCCAGTCTTTTTAAATACAATGTGTACAAACAAATGTGAATGAGGTGACGAGTATAATGTTTATATGTGAACTTTTTTTCGCAAACATGTTAAGAGAAATATTCTAGTTAACAATAGTATCGATGAAAAGTCTTCGTTTAGGTATTTCCTAAATGTTGTCTGAAAGTTATGATCCTTTAAAATTTAACAAAAATCTACCCTATGTGACTATGTCATTGTCCCCATTTTGGAAAAATTATAAAAATTTTAACACTTAAAGCCTTTTTGCTAATTCACTCTTTCTTTGATATACATTAAAATGTTCAAAAGCAAAGACGACATTTAGTTTCCGATTTCTTGTGTTTATTTGGACAACAAGTTTAGTTACTCATCTTAGTGGTTAGTAAAAATAGATGATATAATTTTAGTCACCTTATTGATCTTTCGAAACTGTGCATTCTTTGGTTTTAGACTTATTTCCGTCTTAGCTGCGGCAGAACACGTGTTTGATAAAGTAGAACACGTGCTAGGCTCTACTGACAGAGTATTTGTTGCGAATTTAACGCCTCCTCCGCTCGACAAGAATTTTGTAATTGTAGGCTGAATTCCTAAAATTAAATAAAATATATAAAAAGTTTTATGACACTGCCAAAGACAATTATGACATTTTAAACCCGATAATTGAACAATTGCACCTTTCGTAGTTTTTGCACCCACGACCTTCTTCGTCTTTGCTGCAGTTGGGTCCTGGAAAATAGGCAGGATGAAAACTTTAAAGCTGGGTTTATTTTTTATTATTATTTTTTTAATTGATTTAAAAAACAAAAAAAGTGATTTTATATCAGAAAAAATAAGGTCGTGCTAGGTAAATTTTACAAAGGCCTTTTTTAAAAACCATTTATTAAACTCCAAATGGTGAACAAATGTTGACAGAACCCATTCAAATAATCAGTACTTAGCAAAAAAAAATCTCAAATCTACTGCTCAATAGTAAAGACATAAATATTTTTTTCAGTAAAAAGAAGTTTAGATTACTTACATTATTTTCTTTATTTTTCTTTGGATTTTTTTTCTTCTTTTTGTTCTCCCTGATTTCAATAAACTGGTTTAGAAGTTCAGGGAATGCAGTTTCAAAATCTAGTAGAGATATAAACTACAGAAAAATGTAGAGAATTAAATAGAAACGAATTAAAGCACAGAAGGAATGAAACAAATCTACAAAAAAGAAATGAACAAAAATTATAAGAAGAGGAACGGAGAAAACAAGAACCGAGAAAGAAGAGGAACAAAGAAAAAGAGCCAAGGAAAAAAAAGAACTGAGAAAAAGAAATATTGAGAAAAAAATTACAAGAAATGAAAGGAAAATAGTGGGAAATTAAAAAATATGAAAATGAAGGATGGAGGAGAAAGGAACAAAGAAAAAAATATAAAGAAGAAATAGAAGAATTAAAAAAAAGAGCAGAAAAAAGGAGAAGAAGAAAAGAAAAAACCTGAAGTAGGAACACATGAAGTAAAAGAGGAAGGTAGAGTAGGATTTGAACTATTCCACTCCACCTCCAACATATTCTGCCCACCCTGGATCCGGGTCTTTATTACACTACAAGGGATGACAATGCTTAAATCTCCAGGATGCCGAACCTAAACCAGTAAAAAATAAAAGGAGATCAAAACAAACATTTATTCGTCATTTCAACTTTTAATTGGGTTTCTCTCATCGTCTATAAATTAACAAAAAAAGTTAATTCAAAGATAATCCAATTCATTCTTCTTTCTTTCTTCTTCACTTGGCTTCTCAAGGGTGTAAAAAGTAAGTCCTCTCACATGTTAAACTAGAGTATAGTGTACGTTAACATGTTTTTAATCATAACAAAAATGTTTTGAATTTCTAATATGTAACAGTCTCAAACTTTCTCATAGTTATGCGCAAAATCAAAACTAAACGAGCTACTCGGTCACAAGGTCGCACCAGTAAAGTTAAATATCTTTTGAATTGCGAATCTCAGGATCAAGCATTGATCTGAATGTTATGCAATATGCATCTTAAGCAGACAGAGCAGAAAAAATATAAAGAGAATTTGTAAAAACTTCAAAGGAAAAGATTTATAAAAGCATTTGTTTACTGTAAAATGGCAGAATGCTGATCAAATCCTATCAAATCAAGGATGGATCTGTTAGTAAACTGAGAGAAGAACATGATTCAACCTGTACCTGCCATCTAGTAACAATATCTTGTACTTTATCTAAAGAGTATTCTCTCTCCCAGTCTAACCGTGTTTCACAGATCTGCACAACATTAAAAGAATAATTAAAATCTCAACTTAAAGGGAGTGTTCGCGAAAAATGAAAGGGGGTATAGGCTTAGTGCGGTAAAAACGCGCTTTTGATCGCTACTAATCTTACTTCTGTCTGTTGCGTCTATAAGGAGAAAATTGTTAAATTGTTAATTGTCTCATACCGAATAACTTAGCGGCCAAACAAATTGAGAAAATTGCAACATACGACTTATTGATGAATGAATGAATGAATGAATGGAGTAGCTAACAACCTTAATGAAACCTGCAGAATCTAGACACATCGGGATAAATGAATGATTAGAAATAAAGAAAGAATGAATAGACTAGCTATAACCAACCTTAATGAAACCTGCAGGATCTGGACACCTCCAGATGAATGAATGATGAATGTCCTCCGCGTCTAGTTTATAGAACTCTTCAACAACCTCTAGACGAGGCCAACCTTCACTTTCCACAGCTTTCCGTCTACACAGGGCAATAATTATCAATAAGGATTTGAGTCTTTGCCATCCCTAAATCTTTGCAACCGCATGCCGTATACCTTAGATATTTCAAACTACAAATTTTGATAGATCAAATAATCTAAGTTTGAAATATCAAAGGTTTGCACCATCAAGTTGCTACGTCATACGGATTAGAAAATTTGAGTTTGTGACAAAGACTCAAGTCCTTTAATCAAACATATCTAACAGATTTCTAGAATGAAAAAAAACATTTCTAGNGCATCTATTTATCTCTGTATCTGTTTTATCTGTGAATAGTTCTAACTGTAAATCTATCTAGCTGTGAATCTATCTAGCTGTGAATCTATATATCAGTGCATCTATATATCTCTGTATCTTTTTTATCTGTGAATAGTTCTAACTGTAAATTTATCTAGCTGTGAATCTATATATCAGTGCATCTATTTAACTCTTAATCTTTTTTATCTGTGAATAGTTCTAACTGTAAATCTATCTTTCAACGTGTTGAACTATGTCAATAAATCCAAATTACTTTTATAGAGAAAACACAATTTAAAACAATCAATCTTCATCTCGCAAAATAAGAACATATCATTCATATCAATCATTCTCGATCTTGTGGTTATAAAAGCACTGTTGTGACGTCACTCAATAAATAGAGCGTATACAGTCCCTATAACGGCGTTCTTATGTGATTGTAAAACTGCTTTTTCATCTTGTTTAAATACATATACACAATATATAATAGAGCGTATACAGTCCCTATAACGGCGTTCTTATGTGATTGCAAAACTGCTTTTTTATCTTGTTTAAATACATATAAACAATATATAATTTTGACGTAGTTTACTGAAGACAAATTCTTTTTAATTTATTAATTAAAATTAATTAATATTTACTTCAATCTTGGCTTAATTGTTTTTACTTTTCCCATCGAAGTTTCTAACTTCTTTAAACCCTAACAGAACTGAGTCTTAGTCACAAACTCAAATTTTCTAATCCCTAGATCCTTAACAACCTAATGGTGTAAACCTTATATATTTCAAATTTAGTTTACTTGATCTAACATAATCAATAGTTCGAAATATCTTTGACCTACGACATTGGGTTGCAAAGATAAAGAGATTAAAAATTAAGAGTTTGTGACAAAGATTTAATTCCTTAAAAAAACTTATGTATACCTAATACTAGATTCTGTTATATTTCTCTGGGTTTCTGGGGAATGATAATCACAAGGACATGGTATACCACTTATACATCCTAAAAAAAACTTAAAAGTCAGAGTTGATAACTCTTAAATTGATATAACTATATGGATTTTTTTAATGAGTTGAATTTATTCTCTTACATTGTTCCAGAGTTAGGAGGTTGAACTAATAAGTGATGAATATAAACATTTTAAAACATATTTTAATTCCTTTTATAAATAGAGAAAGTTATAACTTAATAACTTCTGAAAAATAAGAAAAACCCTCTGTTAAAAATAATAAATACTACCATGAGAGGAGGAATGAGGACACACTCCACATCCCCCTTTTCTATGCTGACCAACAGTTCCTGTAATGATAATTTAGGTAATATGCTTTAATAAAGGACTCGACTAATAAAGTGTTCATATAAAAAACTCTAGATATGCTCTAAAAAACCTCTATAAATGCTCATAAAGAAAACTCTATGAATGCTTATAAAGAAAACTCTATACATGCTCATGTAGAAAACTCTAGAATTGCTCATAAAGAAAACTCTAGAAATGCTCATAAAGAAAACTCTAGAAATACTCGTGTAGAAAACTCTAGAAATGCTCATATAGAAAACTCTATACATGCTCATGTAGAAAACTCTAGAAATGCTCATGTAGAAAACTCTAGAAATGTTCATAAAGAAAACTCTAGAAATGCTCATATAGAAAACTCTAGAAATGCTCATATAGAAAACTCTAGAAATGCTCTTATAGAAAACTCTAGAAATGCTAAAATGAATTTTGCTCATATAGAAAACTTTCCGAGTGTTCATTTTGAAATTTTGTTTATGTAATAAAATCTAGAAGTTGTCATGAAGTAGAAAACTCAATTAATGAAGTGCTCATGTAAAAACTCTATTAATGGAGTGTTGATGTAAAAAAACTCTATTAAGAGTATTCTATTCATGTAAAAATTCTATTTAATGGAGTGTTCATGTAGAAAACTCTATTAATTGAAATGTTAACTGTTCATGCAGAAAATTATTAGAAAGAGTGTTTATGAAGAAAACCCTATTAAATAGTGTGTTTATGTCGAAAACTCTATTAATGGAGTGTTCATGTATAAAACTCTATTCAATGGTGTGTTTATGTAAAAACTCTAAGGAGTGGAGTGTTCATATAGAATTCTCTATTAATGGAGATTTCGTGTAGAAAACTTTATTAAGAACATTTAGACCATAATCCAAGAAAAGGAAACGATGAAGATGAACATTCAAAGCTGCTTCCGCAATTGTACATTGTACAATGGGTTCTTTCCGAATGTACTCCATGTTTATTCGACAAGGATTCAATGCGTTTTTTTGTACATAAAACTGACTGATTCAGTATAAAAAGCTGTGATATTTTTCCTGCAAATAAGATTATATAGATTTTGAAGAACTAAATATTATCATGAAGAAGAACATAGGAGAAGAAAAAAATGGCCAAGAATAGAAAAACTACAAAATCTACACAATTGCTTCTTATAAATATGTAATAATGAGTTTTAAATATTTAAATCTACCCAATTGCATCTTATACATATGTAATATGTAGTTTAAATGTTTAAATCTACCCAATTGCTTCTTATACATATGTAATATGTAGTTTAAATGGTTAAATCTCGATCTTTTGTTAATTAATTTAATTTTCATTTGCTATCCCGCATGCTTATCGTACCCTGGTGAACTAACTGAAATGAGGAGATTAAGCATTGATCCTCAAATTGGATATCAAGATCATGCGCACAAGTTCCAAGCTCTGAACAGTTACGTTGACTGTCCCTTTAATACCAAACTAATTATGTTCCCAAGTTTAAATGTAGTTTTGAAGCCGAGGTTTTAACAGACCCCTGGGACATCTTTAGGTGGTAGATTAGTTTAACTGCAGTTTAACTGTAATACAAGAAGTTGGAACAATTTCTGCATTTTAAGTTTTACCCAGGAGCAAGAGTATCCGGATATTTGAACGCGATTAAACGGGATGAGCCCCAATTTGGGAAACCCAAACCTTCTACAGGTAGTATCCATATATTTTCCTAATATCCATCTTTAATCTTTAATAGTGGTAATTATCAACAACCCTAACTTCTTTTCATTTTCTGTTCAAGAAAAGAGTTCAGATTTGTTTGCAGAGGGAAAATGAAAATTTATCTGTTGTCGATTTATCAAGTAGTTAAAGATGAAAGGAGGATGGGTAAAAATACGTGTATAGTCCCTTACCTGGGTGTCCACAAGTTCCACAATGTGTCTGTTTCTTAATCTCGATATAATCCTCATCATCCCAATCCAAAACCTACTCATACAAGGAGGGTTATGACAAAAGCTTCCCACCCCCCATTAATTGAACTGTCGTATTTTAAATTGACTCTCCATATTTGCCTGATCAACAACGGTTCGGTACCAATTAAACCCTTTATCTTATAAATAATGTGGAATTTACCATAGTTTTTTAACCTCTACGTGTTTAATTTGGAAAATTGTCTTCTTTGTTTCTGGCCGTAGAAACAGCAAGTCCATTAAATAGAGAAACCACAATTGAAAATAATCAATATCATAAGAAAATCATGAATATCTCATTAATCCTTCATCAGATAAAGCTTTTAAATGCACCTTAGTGAATTGAAAAAGAAACTGTTTATAAGCGGAGAGTCACTTAAAATAACTGTTCTACAGTTCCTTTCATGGCAAATAACTGTTCTACAGTTCCTTTCATGGCAAGTAACTGTTACAGTTCTCAAATCAATTCAAGAAGAGATAACCAGGTGTAGAGCTTGTAACTTTTGTATGAACATGAATTATTTTTAACGTTCATCGTTCCAAATGAGCTGGAACTTTTTGTCGCCTCTCTTAATTTGTCCATGAGAGCGTTAGTTTGAATCATATGAACCGGTAAAAATTGTTTCTTCGGAAAATAAGTTGACAGGTTGCTCCGTATACGAGATAAAGCTGACTGAGAAGTGCTCTGCTCACAACAGCACATTCTACTGCTTGGAACACTACAGAAACCCAGCCAACTGCTCTGGGTGTAAGTTGGAGCTAAGAGGGGAAGCACCCGGGATCCATATTGGGAATGGGAAAATTTTTCATCCTAGTTGTTTCTCTTGCTCGTGTTGCGGAGAAGTCCTGAAGAAAGGAATAATGTCTGGTTTCTTTGTTGACTCAAAACTAGTTTGTAAAGAGCATATTCTGAACCCGGAGAATTCTGAACCTAAACCTGAGAAATTAGCAAAGTCGGCACCGGAGAGTTTTGTAAATATCAGAGAGGACGAGGAGAAAGATGAAACCCTTCAGACCTTAGACCTGGAGCAGGACGAAGATCTATCAGAGGATGAGAAAAGGGAATGCGAGGACGGAAAGAGAAGAGGACCTAGAACGAATATATGCTCTAAACAGCTTGAAGTATTGAAGAATGTATTTAATGCATCTCCTAAACCAACAAGTGGCCGAAATTAAAGAATTTGAGCGGCGGTTTAAATTTAAGCCGCGGCTTAAATATGGTTGATTCCATTTAAAATTGTATCAAATGTTTCAAGATTTAAGCCGGCGCTTAATTTAAACCGGGTTTTGGCAGATTTAAACCGCGGCTCAAATTCTTTAAATTCCATCTCAGGATGATGAGAGAACAGCTTGCCAAGGATACAGGACTTAACCATGAGATTTATGAATGAACTAAACTGTTTTAACCTATTTAAATGGATTAAACCTTTCCAGTCTTCAAACTTATTTGTATATAGATTTAAGAAGTAAATAATTTACGCATAGATTTTAAATCGTTTAGTTTTAAAGAATCTCTTTAAAAAATATTAATCCGAAAAAAGGGAACTAAGTTTTCATTATATGGTATATGAAATATGTTTTCATTCAAAGAGTACAGTAACAATTTAATAATTTTCTATTTTAAGAGCTCGGTAAAAAAATTACCTTTTTAAGCTCTCCTTTGAATGGGGATCCCCAGTGTTGAAATAATTTAAACAAATTGTCTTTTCCAACCCCATTTACTCCTCCTATATGGTCAAAACTTTCAGAATAATAACAACAATAAAATTTAAAAATGCAATAAACTATAGGCATAAAAATAATTACACCCATTGTCCATTTCAGACAAAAATTAATTAAAACGCGCGTTCGAAAGACAGACGTAATTTTAGAATTCTTTTACAGGGTTATTAAAATTGTTTCCAAAATTTGGTGAATTTTGTTCCCTAGTTAACAAATTCTTTTGTAAAATCTGACACATTTTGAAAAATTGTCGAAGGTGGAAATACATTTGTACCAAAAGCTATCAATCATATCTCAATCGAAATGAAGATGATAAATAAATATTTCAACCTACCCTTGAAATGTTAAAATACTCAAAACTAAATGATAAAAGAAAACCTTATAAATTACTTATTTAAATTTTTCTAATAATCCTAGAATCTGAAAGTTTTATCCCTGGAACGTAATCACAGCCAAGGATCAAAGCCATGATCACTATACGCTCGCGACTCAAACCTTAACAGTTAACATTAAAGGGACTGTAAGCGTAATTTCAAGTAACCCCCTTATGAAAAGATGGCAATTCCCGACTTATAATTACAACGGTACCCTTTAAAGCTTTGTCTGATCAAGTAGGAATTATATATACATTTCTGTTGTTTTTTTAAACAGAGCTGGGAACTTTTGAATGGGGGATATCGGGATTAATGCTAGATCCACTCTTTTTCTTATTCTCGAGAGTATATAAAGCTTGTTCTCCTCTTGTTATTAATCTCTAGATTAATTAACCGATCGGGATTAAGGATATCCCATTCTAAAGTTTTCAGCCCTGTTCATTTTAATTGTTTTTTTTTTTGCGGAAGTGACTTAAACATTTATTGCTTATCGAAAATTGAGAAATTCACAGAAATAAACACTTTAAGAGTAAAAAACTCGACAATATCTTTCACCTTTATGATCAGATTAAAGTCCAAGGGTAACGTTGTAAACCGGGCATTGCTCTCTTTGCGATGTGGGTCACTTAAAATTGAGCTTACAGTCCCATTAAATGATCAGATACAGGGGGAAGACATAAACCTTTTACTCCCCCCCTCCCCGGCACTCATTTAGATTTTTAATTCTCCATGTGAAACTAAAGAACCCAATTTTGCCAAATATGATTATTGTTTATTTTATCATTCAAAAATATTACACAAATATTCACAAATGCTACAGTGAGAAGAAAGACGACTTTTAGACGTAATTCATGACTTTAAATAGACCAGTGTTCATGAAAAACATAAATTATGCAGTGTTAACAGACCTATTTAACTTATTAAGTTATTTAATAACTTACAAGTAAAACTATTTGCTTTGTAACAATATCAAAATTAAATTTAATGTGTCTTCCTATCCCACAATTTTCTGGTTCTCACTGTAAATAATACAGACTTGTATTATTAAACATACCTTGCTCATATTTTAATCTCTTAGAACTATATTTAGATACAGAGAAGTTCTTAGGATCCGTTGAGAAGTTTCTGTAAATATAAGTAACTGAGAATTATTTTGAAAACTGGTTATTTTCAATTGTGTTTTGTATACAAAAGCTATTTGCGCATTTCTACTGCCGGAAAAACAAGGAGGGATTATGAAAATCATACACTTTTGAAGATAGAAAAACGACGTAATCTTCCAAATTTTTCATCATATAAAGGTTTCAATGGTACCGTTGTGCATCTGGCATACACCTCTAAAACTGTAGGGTTACTTGAAATTACAACGATGGTTCCTCTAAACCAGATAAAAAATCTGGAAAAGGCTGGCAGTTGACATGTCATTCTTTTCATTCAGATTCGAAAATTTAAAGCTTTATTCCCACCACAATGCATCATTTATTCACTAAAACCTAATGGAAAAAAGAAATCATTTCGACTTTGTGAGATGTTTATTAAAAAATTAAAGAACTCTTTTATTCGTAAATATTTTGGTTTTAAAAGAGCAAATAAATTTTATTTGAAAAATATAAGAACTTTAACCTGTAAACAGTTCTGGCTCCGTAGCAGAGAGTATCAGAATCATCAGATATAACCCCATCTACTAATCCAGCTCTTAATAAGGAAATCATTATTGGTGTATCATGAANGGCTTCGATTTAAACTTTTTATTGTGGCTTTATCTGAGAGCATCTTCTCTTTGTACAGTATAAAACAAAAACAAAACAAAAAGTTTGCGGATTTCAAAATATTTTTTCGCACTTTTTAAAAATTTTACAAAAATAAAAAAAAACTTTTTAACACAAATTTTTAAAATTTTGATCATTCATAAACCTTCCCTGCGGTCACGTGAGATCCCGCACAAAATTTGGGCCCGATCGGTTCAGCCGTTTTGAGGTTTATTAGATACAAACAAACAGACAGACATACAAACTAAATTTATATATAGATATCCACAATACAACTTGATCTCGATATCCACAATACAACTTAATCTCAATATCGACAATACAACTTGATCTCGATGTCCACAATACAACTTGATCTTGAATTCACGTTTTTTTGTGGGGGAGGGGGAGAGGCATATCAATTCATTAAGATTTGTATGAAACTATTGTGTACTTTTATCATTTTTACTCATTTCATGGTGAATTATATTATGAACGTTCTATAAAGTAATCATCGTGCTATAAAGATAAATTAGCTAAAGCTCGGGACAAAATAAAATATAAAAAGACTTGAACCTTCTCGAAAAAGAGAAAATTTCTGTCCAAAAACTTTATAACACTGCGAACCAAAATAATAGTGTTATAGATAGTTATTACAGCCATTACGTTGGTGTCAAATTTTGTCTTTAAACTTTCATAGTCTGGACTACAAGGAACAAACAGAAATCCAATCTGAAAAAGACACCTAAATAGACCTCCCAAACCAGATAACAGAAGTGTATGTGGTTAATAAAAAACTTATCAGATAAAATCTTACATCTTGACATCATGATTTACCTGTTCAGAGCAGCACAGAACGCTTCCGCTTCTCCAGGAGCTGTTAGAACAGGAACTCCGAGAGATTTAAGAAGTTCTCCGCACTCCTAGATACATAGGAATAGGATATGACATAAGACATAAGATACAATTAGGGTGAAAAAGGAAACATCCTGGCGCAATTTAAACTAAACAGGAGGGGAGGGGGAGGGGGGGTGGTCATTTCCCCAAGTTTTACAAAAAATCTCAGTAACTTTGATATGTGTTTCATGTCTACTGTTTAAACTATTTTCACTTAAATCCCAATTCAGACTTTTTCCAAGTTTTCTCCTACCAATGATTCTTTTTCAATATTATCGATAAAAGCGAACATTAATTTGAAGAACAGACATTAAGATAAAATCAAATCAAATTATATCAAACCAAACTAAACGAAATCAAATAATGTATTTTCAACAAGTATTGAGATAAAAATCTAACCTTCAACACCCCACTAAATTGTCTTCGCTTTTGAACTTTAGGACTCTGTTCAAGGGAAGGGGGTGCGGCAGGACGGGATGATGGGCCCCAATTCAATCTGTTCCTTGAAGCGACAGTGGCAGACTTAACTAAAATCATTGTCATATTGATCATGCCGCGGCTGCACATAATTTGTCACCTTTTTAATTTAGGACCAATAAAAATTTTTCTGATTTTCTTTGACATTAAAAAGATCTCTAAATCTGTAAAACTGTTAAAATCAATAATATACGAAGAGAAAATATAGTTTCATGTACATTTAAAGTTTGGCGTTCACTGTTGATATTGGTCTAAACCAAAAAAAACGTAAATAAAGAAGTCTTTATATTTTCACATTTCTTTGAAAACCTATATCGGTCCCCCAGATTTGCTATTGTCATGAACATTACAAAACAAGAATTAATAGTGAAAGAAAACATGAAAAGGAAAAAAAATTAACATTTATAAATTCCTAGTTCTGTCAAATATTATATTTTTAACACAAGTCAGTTACCTTTAGGAGGTTCTCCGTCCAGTACAAAGACAGGGAGAATATCCAAACTAAAATAACGGTTTCAATTAAACGTCATTCATAAGTTTTTATCTCGAACGGAAAATAAAAATTTCTTGAGTATCCGAACTAATTATCGTGTAGTTTTTAAGAAAGTATCAAGTAAGTCGTTTTTACTTCCCTGAGCGTTTATAACAGATTTAAAATCTCGTCAATTTATAATATTATTATTATCATTATTATCTGCAGGCTACTCTCACAGTAGCATGCAATACATTCATGAAAACAGGATAGAGCTCCGCCACTTGCCCACGGATCTGGCCTGTTTTTATGTCGGAAAACTCTCAACTCAAAAAAACACTTCTAGGTCAGATAAGCGGATACCAATCTGCTTACCTGATTAATGAAGAGGTTCGGAATATCAGATTTCTAAACACAAGTTTCAGTGTTTACTTTAGGGAATTTAAATCAGAAATTTGAAAGCGAAATTTCAAATTTCAAAAACAAAATTAAAAAAAAAATAAAATGAACTTGAAGTTTCCTGAGATGAGGTCTAGCCACCCTGTAACTTAATCCCGGAACGGTCTGGTTCTAAAATATATTTTAACATTTTAAATTCAATGCAAACCTATCTTAGAAATTTAACAATATCACACAAGTGGTTTTTTCGATACTTAAAAACGGCTTACGCCCTTCTTTGCATCCTAACCATTCAATTATATTGAACAAAAATAGTCCAATAGGGTTAAGTTTTGCAGGTAACAAATAACCATCTAAGATGGGGTTTTCTTTAAATGAACAGAATGAGTTTAACTAAGTTTGTCCATTTAATAGTTTCCAGCTCTGCTTTAATCTAATTTACCTGAACAACCCAGCCTGCTAGATCAACTGCTAATGTCTGCCCTCTTCAGCGATAACAAAATAATTAATAAAATTACTAAAAATATAATCTTAATGGATATACAATCCCAATCTTAGAAGAATATGATTTAGAATTTCATGTGGCAGTCCTTGGTTGCCACATTTGTTTTATCTATTTCGGAAGCAATTCTTTGATATAACTGTAAGAGAAAAAAATGTAGAAATGATCAATATAAATATTAAGCTTAGTGCAAAAATTCTTAAAATTGCTAAAATTCGCAAATTTTTGTTTAGCCTCTCAAGAGGAATCCTAACCATGTTTAAACGAGCCAAAGAGTTTGTCCAACATTAGATTTCCCCACAGAGTGAGACTTTAGAAAAAACAAAAACTTACATTTTTTAAATACATGTTGCTTGATCTCGATATGCAATATGGACACTTTTAAATTTGCAAATCAACACATGATCCCTTAACTACAGATCACGGGATATCGAAGAGGAATTAAATAAATATACTTTGTATCCAATAAACGTCATAACGACTCAACCGATCTGGCACAAATCTTTTGTGGGAACTCGCGTGACCCCAAGGAAGGTTTATGTATGATCGGATTTTCAAAAATTGGACTAACAAAATCCGCGAAATTTTTTTGTTTTTGTTTTACAGAGAGAACATGTTCACAATTGCAATAGATGGACGCGAAAAGTCCTAAACGCCTAGTTAAATAAATTCGTAGATCTGCACAAGATGGAGATCAATGTTAGATCCAGAGAATTGCAATTAAAAATTCGGACCTCAGATTATTTTAACTTTGAAAGATTAAGGTTGTCAACAAAGTCTAACCATGAACACAGCTTAGAAATATAAAAGATTTTTATTATTATTTTGTTTTCATTCCGAAGATCGTGAAGAGAAATCCTTTCTTCACAAGGTCCAGCGATCACCCAGAGATCCTTGACACCCATGTCCTGTTCCGGGTTATACTCCTAGATTCTGAAAATATGCAAAACAGAGAACTCTGGAAAATGGAAGACGACTTTTAGACTCAAGTTATATAAACAATGCAAACACATGACACTTATCCGTGGTTTAATAAGTTCCTAGTAAATCTATTTACTTTGTAAAGCAACATCAAATACAGTTTTGTATTGCTTTAAAGTCATCTTCATAGACCCAGTTTTCTGGTTCTCACTTTAATCGTCAGAGATGAAACTCAGGGGAGAGGCTCCCGGCCTAAATCCTTGTGGTTGGAAAGCCCGAGCTTAAAAACATTTAATCTCTTGCTCAAAAATTGCAGGTTATTTTTCAATCCTATCAGACTTACAAGTTATAAAATTTTAAATACATTAAGAGTTCAGTAATCCTAATTAATATAAAAAGGATCTTTAAGTTCTGCATTTTTTTAAGTCAAAAACAGGCGAACCCCATTGACAGAAATAGAAAACAAAACTCCAGCCAAAATCTAAAGTTTTCATGCACTCTAATTCAGAGATTTCTTAAATCTCCTAATACCATTTTATCTGAAATGAGAGAGTGATGTGATACAAATCTTGAAAAGTTTTATTACAATTTACAGATACATAGAAATATAACGCGATGAAAATAGAATTATTTAAAAAATAAAAAAAATAAAATATTTCTTGGATTATTTTAGAAATGGCATTTGTACTTATTCATAATTATCATTTTGTTGCTCGGATTATAGTAAGTCTTCAATTCGAGTTGATCAGAACATTATAATTTGGATTTGATCAGATCACTTAGATCTGGATTTGATCATCTTAATGATCTCAATTTGATCGGATCACCGTTATCTATATGTAATCGGATCACTTTGTTCTGAATATGATCAAATCCACATAATCTGGATGGTATCCAATTACAGGATCTGTATTTGATCAGATGACAGGATCTGTATTTTATCAGATGACAGGATCTGTATTTGATCAAATCACAGGATCTGTATTTGATCAGATCACAGAATCTGCAATTGATCAGATCACAGGATCTGTATTTGATCAGATCACAGAATCTGCAATTGATCAGATCACAGAATCTGTATTTGATCAGTTCGCAGGATCTGTATTTGATCAGATCACAAGATCGGTATTTGATCAGATCACAGGATTTGCATTTGATCAGATCACAGGATCTGTATTTGATCAGATGACTCTGACTCTGATCTGGATTTGATCAGAACATCATGTCTAGATTTATCTTAATTAATCAGATGACTATGATCTAGATTTTAAAAAATGATCAATATTTTAGAAATCCATTGCTTCATCACTCTGAGCGATAAGTTCCCCCTTCCAGTTCTTGGACATCGTTGAGAGAAACTCCTCAAATATATTGATCGATTCCTAAACAGAGAGTACAATCAAATATATTGATCGATTCCTGAACAAACAGAGAGTACAATCAAATATATTGATAGATTCCTAAACAGAGAGTACAATCAAATATATTAATAGATTCCTAAACAGACAGAGAGTACAATCAAATATATTAATAGATTCCTAAACAAACAGAGAGTACAATCAAATATATTGATAAATTCCTAAACAGAGAGTACAATAAAATATATTGATAGATTCCTAAACAGACAGAGTACAATCAAATATATTAATAGATTCCTAAACAAACAGTGAGTACAATCAAATATATTGATAGGTTCCTAAACAGACATAGCGTACAATCAAATATATTGATAGATTCCTAAACAGACAGAGAGTAAAATCTAATATATTGATAGATTCTTAAACAAACAGTGAGTACAATCAAATATATTAATATATTCCTAAACAGACAGAGAGTACAATCAAATATATTAATAGATTCCTAAACAGACAGAAATTACAAGGGTCAAACGACATAAGGTTAGACGACATAGGGTAAAACGGCCTATAGATTTCTAAACAAACAGAGCTGAGAATAAAATCAAATATATTGATTGATTCCTAAACATACAATGAGTACAATCAAATGAATTTCTAAGAAATGTCTAAAAGCTTCTTTCAAACTAAAATTTGAAACTAGGTGGTAAAAAATATTACGCACTGCCCAGGGTACTAATAGTTACTCTCGTTGTTTACCCACGCTTGGTCGTAAATTACGATTTAAGTGGACTCATTCGCCTTAGAATCTTAAGACTAAGCTCAGAACATTCCCGTGGGTCTCCCGAGTTCCTTATCAAAATTTGAGGCAAAACAGTCAAGGGGTTCCGAGTTGTGATCGAAAAAACAGAGATAACTTGATATATATAAATAAACCACCTTCAAAGAAGTTTTCTTATAATCCTTCATCTTCTTGCCGGCCTCGCTGGCATCCTTGGAGAACTCGTCGATCTCGTCCAGCAGGGTAGAGATAGTGGGAACCTGGAAGTTAAAATAGATAAAGTTGGCATATTTTTTTAAGCCCCTTCCTATCTCTTCTAGTTTGCCAATTATGAAATTATGAAATTATTAAAGCCATATTTTCAAAGTTATAACAGAAACCAACTGCAAAATCCTACGCGACGACTCTAGAGAAAAAAAAACTTTAATTACTTTATAACACTAGATACACAAAAAAACCTAAGAATTATAATGTAAAGATAGTTATTTCCAAGGAGATATTGAATAGAAGGAGGGGGCGATAGGGTTTCCGAACACTTTGCTGTGAAATTTTTGGACTGCTAAAGAACTAGTTTCTGCGTAACAACAATAATAAAGATTGTAAACAATAACACAAATGATAAACAGACATCTGGCATCTCTGGCGTATTTATAAAGGGGGTAATTTGATTGAAAATGTCGCTGTAATAAGGTCCTTTTCGTATAAAACTAAAATCCTTAACTTTTTTTTTTTAACAAGATAATACTACTTTTACAGTTTACTAACTCATGTTTGTTTACATTAGATCGGCTGCCTTTGTTATTGTTACGCAAAAACTAGTTCTTCAGCAGTCCAAAAACGTCATAGCAAAGTGTACGGAAACCCTACCGCCCCCTCCTTCTATTCAATATCTCCTTGGCTATTTCAGAGGTGTAAGCATCTTGTGTACTGCAGTGTACTGTCTCTGGGCGGTAAAGTGAACAGAAGACGGATGTCACAGCCTGACATGGGATCCATCTTTCACATAAAAAAACAATGAAATATTCTAGTCATAGGAAACTATTATGTGAATTATCAAAATTATCAAATTTGCTTTCATCATCCTCGGATACTAGACGAACACTGATGCATCTATTCTTGTTTACAAACACCGCCCAGAGAGAACTGGTTTCAATCTGTACGCAGAGAATACGCAGAGCAGAACAAGATACTTAAAAATGCCCGTTTTTCATAGAACCTATATATTTTTTACACTCCATAAAGCTTATTTTACTTTTTTTTAACATTACAAATAAATCTATAATTTTTATTTCTAAAAGTTGTTAGTTCATCGTCGAAAAATACTAACAATCCGCCACCATGACCAATTTAAATTAAATATAATGTAAACAATAAATATGTTACTTTCTTTATCCTTTCCTTTTCCTTTTATTTCTATTTCTATATTTTTTTTAGAATTGGGGGGAAATATTCCCACAACCTCTACTTTTAGAGGTTTTTAAATATTTTCTCCTGAAACACTTTATTTTGTATGTTTTTGTTATATTTCATAAATAAATAATTTTTTACTTTTTTGTTTTAACAGCAAATAACGTTTCATGCCTTATTACCTTGCATAAAACAACAAAAAATAATCCTAGATTTTAAAGAAATAATCAAAGTTTGAAACAAAAAAAAATCATAAATCATAGCTATTTCCGCCGTTTACCCTCACTTGAACGCTTTTACCGGGAAACAAAATAACAAAATTTCCGCTATCAAAGTCGACCAACTAAGAACATTTCCGTGGGTCTTCCAAGTTCCCCAATCAAAATTTAAGGAAAATCTATCCAGGGGTTCCTGAGTTTTGATCGGACATACAAACAGACAGACAAACAGAGATTACAACGTTATATATATATAAAATTGCCTCAAATATGAAGAGTGAGGAGTAAATTGATTATAACGGTATATTGTTTTCCAGGAATAAGAATCAAAACCAATAATTTGCTGGTTTTAGTCTACATCTCAATATCAGGATTGTGTTACATAATTTAGAGAAATTTTCGTCGTTTTTACAAAATTTTACCTCGTCTGGGTTGAACTGCTCAGCCTTACTGGGATCAAAGGGAACACAAACCCGTCCTGATAAAACATTAAAGTTAATTAAATCTAGATTTTAAGGTTTAGTCGTGTATAAAACTACAAGCTTGGGAACCCAGCTTTGCCTAGAGTTTTTACCAATAAAAACACTCAAAAACACTCAACTCAACCAAGCTAAGAACAATGAATTCAGTGATGTTACCAAGTACCCATAAAAATTGGGGGAAATCGTTCCAGGGATTCCGGAGATTCAAACATTCAATCTAACAGACAGAGATTACTACTTTATAAATATAGATCTACCTGTTTTAGGATGAACACAGAATGGGGCTTTCAATAAATGGTTCATGCCCTATAGTTATACTTATATTAAATATTTTAAGCAAGAAAAACAATTATTTAGGAAAATGTCTCTTGAACTAAGAAAGAATAATTCTAAGTTTTGTAAAGTAACAAATAATAAAAAAACAAAGAAAAATATAGTATTCCTTTGACACAGCAATATCCAACCTGAAAGAAGAAAATATTTATTAAAAAATAAATAAAAACATATAGTCATGTGTTAACATAATTCATCATATCTTCGAGATGTTTGCGTAATTTCAAAAAGTACAAAGCTCGAGGCACAACGGTACCCTTGAAACCTCTTTTTGAACAGTATATCGTAGTTTTAAATGATAAAAATAGATAAATTTGAAAACTTTCTGCAATATTTCTGTTGCATATAAATCTATGAATCCGCAAATCACTTCTAAAGAGAAATAAGGGTTTCAAGAATAAAATGTGAGTGTGCTTCTTGGTCAACATCAACAAGATATGTATAAACTGGAACAAGAAGTATGAATACCTAGGATATGCAAACTGAAGCATTATCTCTTGAAGAACTGCTTTCGTCGTCTTCCTTTTCTTCCAATCCTTGGCGTTCACGTAGTCTCTCACCTTACCACTCAGCACATTCCATCTATATTATCATTACCGTTATCATTATCGTCATCATTATCGTTAGCATTATCGTTAACATTATTGTTAACATTATCGTTAGCATTATCGTTAGCATTATCGTTAGCATTATCGTTAGCATTATTGTTAGCATTACCGTTAGCATCAGCATTGCATCAGCATCAGCTATCAAATCAAATCAAATTAAATTAGGAAGCTAGGGATTGATCAATTATCATTAAGCATTAGCATTATAAATATAAATACCACTATCATGATCATTACAATTATTATTATCATTGTCATTATTTATATCAAGTTTAAGACGAGAAATCAGTTTCTTTAGCAGACTAGTGTTTAAGATACCTTTGAATACTTGTAGAACATGACTCCATACTGCTCAGAATGTCGTCCTACATAATCAATATTTAAGAAAAGTCAAAATATATTTCAAAACAAATTGATGCATTAAGTAATACCTTGAGATCGTTATCTGATATTATATCCACTACTTTGTTCCATCTTCCATTTCCTGAACATTAAAACTATAAACAAATGTTAACGATAAAAAAAATGTATTTTTTTTAAAATTTTAAGTAATTTTTACTCTAAAAACTTCTCAATTTTGTTCGAAAATAACAAATGTGCAAAGAAAAGTGACAAAGGACACAACAAAATATCTTCACAAACCCTTTCCCCTATTCATCCCACCTTACTTATATGCAGTATACATACACATTGAATTTTTAATATTACCTAGAATATCCTGGTCTTCTAAACACAACTTTTGAAAATTCTTCTTAATTATGTTTACAGCTCTCTCAACTACAGACAAACAAAGCTCATTTAAAATAAATTTCAGCATGCAATGACAACAAAATATTTCTTGTCACTGCGCAAAAGCCGTAAAAAAAGAAAGAAACCATTGTTTCACTTTTTATTGATACTTATTAACATCATAGCTTGGGAACCTAGCTTTGCCTAGAAACTAAGGCGTCTGTTTAAGAGTCAACCTATTAAACAAAAACCTTTTAAACCAAGCTGAGAACATTCCCAAGGTTCTACCGGTTAATCAGCCAAAATTTGAGGCAAATCAGTTCCTGAGTTAAGATCAGACATTCAAACAAACAAACAAACAAACAAACAGAGAGCACTATTTTATTTATAAAGATGCACGTATATCTTCGCGTGTGAATATAAAATTAGATAAATGAGCAATTATGTTCCTGAAGGATGAACTCCCATCTCCCCCTTCAGGTTGACCTTCCTTGTAGTCTGATCCCCTCCGGATACAAGCTAAAATGAAAACAACGGTCAACTCAAGTTACTGGTAAAGGTGAAAATTTTGATTTAACAGAATTTTTTATCGATTTGGCCCTTCTTACTTAGCATGATTCTTAATAAACAGTAAAGAGAATGTTCTTGGTAACAAATGTGTTTTCTTGAGACCAAACCTGGAGATATTCTGCTACAGCTGATCTAGCTTTCCCTGACAACTGACGAGCTTGAGGGTCACAAACCCAACAATGTATTCCTCGTCTGCAACAATAACATAAATTCACTAAAAAAAAATCAAAAATTGAAACGAAAAACTTTTTTCTAAAAATAAGTACACTTAAATGCAAAATACGTTTGCCTTTTTCTTATTTGATTGCAATTTAGTTCTACTGACATTTGAGCTTTGATTCCAAACGTTTGAATTGCACTTGATTTTGATTGCAATTGATTTTTATTGCAATTATTTCCCATTTTCATCTTTTTTTACAGGGGGGTTGATATATTTCATAAAGAAATTTGACCTACCGTCCCGAATATACCCAGAGTATATTATTGAACCCGAAGTCCTCCCTGAGCCCCGAGTCAATGATCTGAACCGCAACCGTCATATATCTCCAGCACTTTGGGCAGATACTGGCTCCACTAAACAAGGCATCTTTAGGTTCAAACCAAACCAAACCCAACCAAACCAAACCAAACCAAACCAGATTTACAGGAACTGTAAATTTTAAATAACCCTCGATATATTGAGGTGCACGCTTGGTTCACAATGCCCATTTTAAACCTCTATTTGATCAATAATATGGAACATATTGTCTATTTCACAGATTGACAATGACACAATTTCAGTAGTTAGTCACTTTTACACAGAAACCACAATTGAAAATTACTGATTTTTAGTCACTTTTACACAGAACCCACAATTGAAAATTACTGGTTTTTAAAGAGAATTCTTGGATATCTAATTAATTCTTGATATGACGAAGCATGGGTATCGCTGTAAATCTGACACGCTCCTCTTCAAATAAAACATAACAAACACTACTAACCTGCAGCAGGTTCGAACATCGTCGTAATCCGTCAAATCCACATCAAACACCAGTTCACGCTCCATGGGCGCGAAATTTGTCATACGTCGGTGCTCCGTTGCTCTGCACAAAATGACAAGTTTAAAGTTGATAAAATTTAGAACAAAAACGTGTAAAATGACAATAAAAATGTATTACCTTGCGTTGTATACAGCTCCTGAGGAAAGGATTATTCAAATTCAATAAATAGTAAAAACAAAATTGTTGGCATTCTTTGTTCAAAGAAATAGTCATAACCGTTGTCGAAACTCATAGAACTTATGATTCATTTTATCTTTCAAAAAAGCTTAGTTCCCTATGAATTTTGATACAAAAATTATGTATTTCCAATTTTTTGAAATAATCCTCGTCCCTATATCTATCTTGATTGGACATTTCTTCTTGAGTGCTGCCTCAAACTCAGCTTGGTTGGTGAAGGTTAGATATCTAAACACAACACGCGGCATAGAAAATGGCAGACACATAAAACACGCAGCATTAAAAATGGAAGACAAATAAACATGCGGCATTGAAAATGGCAGATACATAAACACGCGGCATTGAAAAGACACATAAACATGCGGTATTGAAAATGGCAGACACATAAAACATGCGGCGTTAGAATGGCAGACGCATAAGCAAGCGGCATTGAAAATGGCAGACACTTAAAAATACGGCATTAAAATGGCAGCATTGAAAATAGTACACACATAAACATGCGGCATTAAAATGGCGGACACTTAAACGCGAAATTAAAAAATGGCAGATACTAAAACACGCACCATAAGAAAATGTCGAATTCCATAACAAGCAGCTCTAAACATGGTGGACATCTAAATAAGCGGGATAAAAAAATGATCGATATTAAAACACGTAGCATGATAAAATGACAAATGTTTAATAAAGGAGGCGGCAATATAAAATACAGAATTGCATCAAAAATGGGAAGTAATGTAATGTAAATGAAAAAGATATTGGACAGACGACATAATCAAACCTTTTTATTAATTTTAACTGACCTGAGATATATATCGCCCTCCAGGGTAAATGAGAATTCCCTAAAAAAATAAAATCTTAAAACTGGCGTTAAAGTATTTTTTTTTATCTACAATGGTTTAAGTTCCCATTCGTCTCCTCTTTCTTGTAAAGACTTTAATTCATTCAAATTAAATATTATAATAAAAATAATTTAAAAACCTACCTGTGAGAAAGATAATTTTTGTCAATATTTCCGTACTGCAACCAGCGGATAAACTGAGAGTAGGGGAACAACCGTTTATAATACTTAACAAGAAATGCTGTTCAAATTCTCTGCTCAATTGCAAGGTTTACTTTTTAAAAGAACTGTTAGTCTCAACTTCCATTTCAAGATTAAGTCGCTTGGTGTCATTAAAAGGTGTATTATTGTCAATTTACTTCTCTGTCTTTGCTGCAGAAATCCGAAATCAAAATGAGAAATTGCATTAGAAAATAATCAAAAACAAAAATCAAATAATAAAATATCAGGAATATCTCCATCATCACAGCTCAGACAAGGTTAAAAAACACCTTTGTGAATAAAGAGTCCGTTGGTATTACGTCAACAGGCAGTCCCTTAAATATAAACCCCTGTATCAGACACTGATATGCAGTCCCTTAAATATTAACCCCTGTATCAGATACTGCTATGCAGTCCCTTAAATATAAACCCCTGTATCAGACACTGCTATGCAGTCCCTTAAATATTAACCCCTGTATCAGATACTGCTATGCAGTCCCTTAAATATAAACCCCTGTATCAGATACTGCTATGCAGTCCCTTAAATATTAACCCCTGTATCAGACACTGCTATGCAGTCCCTTAAATATTAACCCCTGTATCAGATACTGCTATGCAGTCCCTTAAATATTAACCCCTGTATCAGACACTGCTATACAGTCCCTTAAATATTAACCCTTGTATCAGACACTGCTATGCAGTCCCTTTATCTTACTTCCATTGCAGTCTACTTGTGTAACAGGTAAAAACTATGCAAATTCATCTAATTGCTCGAAATCTCTGAATAAATCTAATTTATATTAGCAGAAGAATTGAAGGTTAACCTGGGGTAACAATTCTTGTAGCATCTCCGGGTTAAAGTTTCCCATCTTGGAAATCTTGAATCTGAAATATCATTTGTAAATTGCAGGAGCTTCAGGTCATAAGTTTTCATCACACCACATACAATATAGTACATACATACATACAGTGAGAATTATAAAAATGTGCAATAAATGTCGTATTTGTTTTTACTCTAACTTATAAAAAACCTTGCTCGGAATTTTGGAATTTGCAATCGTCTCTTTCAAACTTTACACAAATATTTGCAATCGTTGCAAGTAAATCGCTTCTAAAATATGACCATGTAGGGCACTTATTTATAAATAGTTAAGTTGGAAATTATAAAATCCTTGGCGATATTTCAAATTAAAAAAAAGATGTGAATTACACTGTTTTCTTGATCTCAAGGTTAAAACCTTTGTTTATAATCCTTTCGGGACACTGTGATATGCGAGATTACAAAAAAATTTACAAAATTAAATAAATGTAAGTCGAAAATATGAAATATTGGTTTTGAATAATGAATATATCAACGGGCTTGGGTTGTTATATTATTCTTGGACAGTTTTCACTTTATCAAAGGTTTGGTTTAAGAATTAAATGGTACAATTTCTTGAAAAAAAAACAATGTGTAAAGAAGAAATGTTTGAAAAAAGATGGGGGTTGCTCTAGAGCAGAGACGATTAGCGAAAATTTAAACCATACAACAGGCGCTCTATAGACTGCAGAGATTTGCTCTGAACCAGTCAACAGGGTCGAACAGAATGTAATTCAAGGGGCAAGAATTACTTTGCTCTAATATATTAACGAGTTTCTGATCTTTTCTATGAAATAATAAATCTGCTCTGTCAGTAGCGGCGATCATTTACAAAAGAATCGGCATTCGGCGGGTTCCTTTAGGACAGGAGACTGATAAGTCCGTCGATAAACTTCGCCTTATCTTCCGTCTTTATCTAAAAAAAAATGGGATTACTTCTTAAAACCGACATTTTTCATGTAATTCTTGATCTTAAAACAACTATTTATAAAACTATTATTATTTTGGTTTGTAGTGGCATAAAGTTTTTGGACTTAAACATCTCTTTATTGAGAAAAATTAAATTTTGTATCTCAAGTACGTACAAAGGAAATCTAGGTCCTAAAACATTTTTACACAATGTGCTTAAAAATAAGCATAAAGGCCAAAAAAGAAATAAAATAAACAGTTCATTTCATTTTCTTTTTCAATCAAGAGAAAAAATATTTTAGAAATATTCTTTTACCACAGACGCTATGTTTTACAGATAATATAACTTTCACAACAAGGAAATTGAGCATAAGATTTGGCTGCATAATGAAATCTGGAATAGTTTGAAAGAAAAAGAATAAACCTGTATAAGAGATGAGTCCCAGTAATCGATAAGATATCTACACTGCGTGTTTCGAACAGTCTGAGAGAAAGCCTTCCCGAAAAAGTTTCTCCTAAAAGAAATTTTTTTACAATTTTTTTTTTATCTCATATTTATGGTCCTCCGAATACAATGTAATGCTGGCTATGTTATTTATTAAGATATAATTAAAAATCTACTTATCTTTAAATCCTTATGGTAAATGGTACCATATAAGTTTTTTATTCCCAATTATATTGTCATATCGAGTCATTATACATAATGATAAGATATTCCCACCATTACTTCTGTTCGTATATACTCAAGTGTATATTAGTTATACCTTTAATAGCCCATTCCTCTTATCAGACTAACCTAGTTTTATCGTTGTAAGGAGGTATCCCAACCACTACACTGAGTCCAGCTGCCTGGTCTAGAGGTGCAATAAGAACTAGAGGAAGGTCAGCTGCTTTCTTACTCCGAGAGTTACTGATATGTCCCTAAATTAATATAGGTCCTATTCATTACTTACTACTTGGAATAAAAGCTAGGGCAGTAGGCAACCAGTTAAATCTGTTATTTTAGTTTTTGTTTGACTTCCCAGTAACCCCACAAAAATCTGCTACATTTCTTTTAAAATTATGCAAAATGATTTGACTCTTAAAGAAAATAAAAACACAAATGGTATAAAAACATGATAGTGGCTGTAATTTCTGTTAGTTCAGCATTTTGAATTGTGAATACAGGAAAATCAATGATATTAAAATATAATCAGAGAGCCATAATTCTATTTCAAAACGGATCAAAAAGGCTACAAAATGTTCTCTTGAAAAGATTTTACTGCAAAGACTCAACATTTCAATGATGTTCTCTGGTTTCTAAAGAAAATAAATCATTTATAAAAAGAAACATTTACAAATAAATTAATTAGTTTTTTGGTTCTTACCTGTAGAATAAAATGAGCCAATGTTTTGACAACATTGTGTTTGGTAAGATAAGATATGCTGGGAATTCCTTCCTAAACCAACATTTGTAATAAAAATGATCGAATTATTAATTTAAATCAATAGATTTCAAATCCATGTCTTTCTTCCAAAAAATGTCATTATTATCAACAACTTAATAAATTCCAAAGTTTTTGCAACAGCGACAAGCCTTTTCATTTTCTTTCATTTGTATCCAAAAAAATGTTGATGACTTAACTAAAATTGACTTTGATATGAATTTAAATGAGGGATGTGCAATCCAAATCCCTCCAACTATCAGATTTTGAATCCTTTTTTTCAGCCCCAGCCTTGTTAATCTAATCCCCAATACTCTCCCTGGTTCTGATTTGGACAATTATATTAGTTGGTTTCCTGAATGATACAGTAGAGAAAAGGTCCCAGTGAAACTATCTGAAATTAAGAGAGTGTGAGCTTCCAGTCTCATAATATCAATTTATATAATTACCTTGTGTTATTCACAGGGCCAATTTCTGTTCTTATTTACTTTTATCCGATTTTAAAAATGTCGGAATAAAAAATCACTTGTTGAAGAAACCTTTTATCCTGTGGATCATGAAATTCAGGGTTAAAAAGCGGGATAACAATTTTCTTAAAATTGATCAGGTAAATTAACTTATTTGTTTCTAAAATTTAATTTATTTACTGAAATAGGGATTTTTTGAGGGAGGGGGGAGGTAAGTACAACTTTTTAAAAGCTTTGATTGCGCATACTCCGTTTTTGCTTACCTGTTTAGGTTCTAGAATATTCTGTGCCATCTTAAATACTGCCTGGGCCTGATCTTTAGCCTTCTCTATACCTGCATCCAGCTTCTTCCCATTACTCCGGGATAACAGGTCCAAAGCTTAACATTAAAGATCAAGCAAGCAATAAATCAATTCATCAATCCATCAATGCATCCTTTCATCAATTCATCCTTTCACCTATTCATCAATTCAACCCATCAATCCATCAATCCATCAATCCATCAATCCATCAATGCATCAATGCATCAATGCATCAATTCATCAATTCATCAATTCATCAATTCATCAGTCCATCAATCCATCCAGATAAGAAAGAAAGATAAAGAAATAAAATAATCAATCAGACCAATGAAATAATAAATCCATCAAAAAGTCAATCCATGTATCGAAAAGAAACAAATTAAATAACACAACCAACCACACCACTAGCCAACGAATCCACCAACCAATCCACCATTCAAACCACCAACTATTCAACCAATCCACCCAAAAGAATATTCACAAGAAAAATTTACCATCATAGACCGCCTGTTTACAGTCAAAGGTTGAGTCCCCGTGTTCCAGAGTTGCAGTTACTGCTCTAACAACGTCAGCAGCATAATATTTATGCTGATATCCAAACTATTCATAACAATCCTTTAAAACAGAGCAAGTCTAACATCTTAACTCCCATTTATATTTTAAATTCTGCAGAGTTGGCTTGATCTTGACCCCATTCTTTCATCTTAAATGCTAAATTTTAGGTATTGATTCTTAATTTCATCCGTACGTAATCCCTTACTTCAATATAACTCTTCAATCCTTCAAATCCTTCAAATCCTTCAAACCTACAAAACCTTCAAATCCTGTAACTCCCCCAATCTTTTAGTCCATCAGTTCAACAGTGCATAAGTCCGTCATTCAATCATTCAATCATTCAATCTTATCAATCCATCAGAACTGAAATAAATTTGAACCAGTTCTTTCAGAAGTAGCACAAGGTTTTCAGATAAAATAATTAAAAATTTTGCCTAATTTTAAACCAGTTTGTCTCCATATCATTTAATTGGTCTCAATTTCAATTATTTTATCAAGAATAATTAAAATATGTCTATATTCCAATAATGACTTATTTTCTTCATTTTCTCCCTCAAAGGGGAGATTTAAACTGATGAACCTGTACCTGTACCGTGTACTGAACAATATAGAAGAAAAGCCTGTCAAGATTTTTCATACACAACAGTAGAAGAGAACTTAGAAAGGGTGGAATTCTTTCCACCTGAATACCAAAGTATCAAAAATCAGACTTGCAACAAGCCTTGCAAGTAAACCCTAACCAAATTTTTCAATCCTTCCTAAAGAGCCTTGTCAAGTAAAAGACCAAACCAGATTTTGAGTTTCAGATAGTTATATTACTGTGAAACCCACCTAATTTGAAGGTCTCTAACAATAGAAAGTAAAACTGAGAAATTCGGTATTAATACACCCCGTTACATTCTCAAAATGGTTGTAATTAAAATTGTTAAAAAAATACGATCAGGGTATTTCCACACAAAAAAAAACTTAAACTTTTCAACGTTATTCGGATTTCAATTTTTTCCCCAAGCATCCATGTACTATGTACTATGTACAATTTCTGTAAAATATTTTTGTAGCATCTCAAAGATTACAAACACAAGTAAATAACTAGAGTTTTTTCTTTCAATTAAAAAAAATCTTATGACCCAAAGTTTTTAAATCACATCTTAGAATAGTACCCATAAAGCTGTATTTTCTAAATGGAATTAAAATTATTTCTTCTAAAAGCCAATTCGCAAACATAAAATAGAATAAACATGTAATGTTGTAAAAAGTGTAATATTTTTAATAACATGTAATTACACATAAAAATTATGTCAACATTAAACTATTGGATTTCAAATAAATATTTAGATTTTAAAAATCCAACAGTCCAACAATTCATCAATCCTTCAATCCCTCAATTCTTTAAGTCTCCAATCCTTCTTTCTGTTATTTTCTATAATAATTTGTTAGTCAACCCATTAGCTAAAATGATGGCTGCTTTTTGTTTTAAAGGAATCCTGCCTGGCAAAGGAAGGTGTTGAAAAATATCTCTTGTATTTCATATTTGTCCATCTAAACAAGAATACGGGTCTGATTATAAAAACATAAACATTTTATATTATTTAATATTTTCTAAAATTTAAATCAGTTTATGAAAATACATCTTTTTATGAAGCTAAGAAATGATCTGTGTTGTTATCATGTAAAAGGAGCAGTAAGATAAAATGATCATCTTACAAGGAAAAAATGTAATAATGGAAATTCTTTAACCAGATTAAAGAATGCATCAAAATTATTTCAACTCGTTTAAGAATTCCATTATTACATTTTTATCCTCATAAGATTAATATTATATCATATTTGCGAGGTTCCATAAATTTTTATATTCCACTTATGCTCTTGTTCTGGCTATCACTGTTTTTGTTTGTTTATGGTACAATGCTAAAATGTTAAAAACCCTTTATAAGTATAACTGATTCTTCTTATAAAATAATACAAATAATGCATGCGGTGTGATTATTTCCTTAGTTAGTTTGTTTGTTTACCAATTTCTAATGCATTGGCTGGATTTTTCGAGTTGATGCTGTATTTAGATCTATCATGTTGAATGTGCCGTGAATTTTTTAGATTGGGAGAATGTAGAGAATAGTAGAGAAAAAAATCATGAAATCATTTACAGAAGAAAAATTTTGCTGGATATTATATTCCAAAAAAAGGACAGAAATAAGGGGTTTCTTCTATGAACCAGTACAAGAAATGAAATCATAAAAGTTTGTCTCCCATTCATGAATCAAGTTTAACTGATTTGTTTTCATTGCTAGGACCCGCTAAAAGATCGTGACACTAGTATTTCAATGATAAGTTTTTAGAATAACATTTTTTGGTTTTAATGATGGTTTCACTTCATCAACTCTAGCTATGTGAGATATTAGTGACAGCTGCCAGCTGCGTACTTCAAAACCAGTTTTAGCTGTCAAATTTGTCCAGATATTACAACTGAATTTTGAATTTTAGAAATGCTTTTTTGTTACTGACTGTACTATTACAAATATGCAGAGATTTGCAAAATCTTACAAAACTTGGTTTACAATGAAGAAAAACTAAAAAATTGTTTGAGTAGGCAGTAACTTGATCTGAGACTCAGGCAGTTTGATGAAAATGCCCAATCTAAGGCCATTGACCTATAATTTTAGGAAAGGTAAGAAAATTCGAACGTCACCTGAATCATTTTTAATGAGTTAAGTAAATTACTTGCACTCATCTGTCAGGACTAGGGTTAAAATTAAAATTTCTGAATTAAATACCTTAATTCAGAAATTTTAATTTTAACCCTAGTCCTGACAGATACTTCTAACTACGAAAAAGGTAAGTGAGCATGCAAAAGGTAGGTTGGCATGTTTAAATAAAGTAAAAAGGGTAAGTTTGCATGTTTTAATTTAAAAAAAAGGTAAGTGAGCATGTTGTTTTAAAGCATAAAAAGGTAAGTTTGCATGTATTAATGTAAAAGAAAAAGAAAAAAGTGAGTTTGCACTGTGCATGTTGTCAGTTCAAAATAATTAAGTTAATATCAATATTGATCTATACTGAAAAGATCAATATAAGGAGCGTTTAAGAATGAATATTCTTCAACTAGTGTAAGAATTTCCATTCTTTAATCCTTGGAGCGTGTAAGAATATACATTCTTTTACGCTCTGACCGTGTAATAATTTCCATTCTTACACGGCCTGAGCGTTAAAGAATGACAATTATTCACCTACAGTGTAAGAATAAGCATTCTTAAACGCTAGAAGGGAACAATATTAAAATTGTTCCTCCTGAACCGTGTAATAATGGGAATTCTTACACGATAGCTTTACTACTATGGAACCGAACAGATATGATATAATAGCCCTTCATATCTTGAAGCTCCCAAACGCCATATTTGTATGGGGAAGTTCATTAAAAGTAGGTGAACTTCTCTTAATCATAAATTTTCATCCACAAAAGAGCGTTTGCCTGGACAACATTATTTAATACTTTCAAATGTAACACCAGCTTGCAGAGTTTTCTGAATTTCTTGTGGATAAATGAATCTATATATTACCTTTGCCTCGAAGACCTTGGGTATTTCGTCTCTGATCTGTGGATCCATGTAGGTATATTTCTGTTTACTCTCTACTAGGGGTATTCCAAGATCTGCTAGGAAATCATTCAGTTTTCTTTCTCCCTACAAAATAATTAACTTTAAAATAAAAAATAAAAAATTGGTGAATGTTTTTAAACTAGCAGATCCTTAAATTGGTTTGCCTCCAAGTTGGCAGAAGTTGATAGTTTTTTTGTGTGTTGGATATTTACTATCGCTTAATCTCCACATCTACTGTGGGCACTAGGCTTAATCTCCACATCTACTGTGGGCACTAGGCTTGATCTCCACATCTACTGTGGGCACTAGGCTTGATCTCCACATCTACTGTGGGCACTAGGCTTGATCTCCACATCTACTGTGGGCACTAGGCTTAATCTCCACATCTACTGTGGGCACTAGGCTTAATCTCTTCATTGCAGTTATCCCTCCTCAGATTAAAGATCCTTTCAGCCCCTGACTGGGTATAATTACCATGTAGGAGATCAAGCATCGACCTCGATATCCACAATACAGTGCGAGTTCCCAGATTTCTCAATTCTTTTTAATTGGCATGGCAGGTCAGGTAGACTGACCCAAATTGGTTCCTGTTAGACCACCGGTTTAAGCAATTGCTTTAATTACCTTGACAGAAAATAGTTTAAACTTCATCGCTGTGTAGGAAGAATGCTTTATTGAGTCTAGTAAGGTCCAATGTCTAAAAAAGATATGTTAGTAAGTCCCTTTTTTTAATACATAAATGAGAATGTAATCCTTGCTCAATTCTCCTCCCCCCCCCCTTCCCTCCCCTAGACAATAAAGAAATCTCGAATTATAGCCCTCCGACTGCTTTCAGGGCATCATGCACCATCGGTACATGGTGCATGCAATTGGCGGCATCAAATTAATCATCATTTCATTTCCTGCATTCACTATTCTTCTGTTTGAAGTTGGAATTTTCATTACATATTAAAAGATGTGACTGAAACTAATGTTGATCCCTCACCTTAGTAAGACCAGATTTAGTCCTCGTTCAGCGTTTATCTTCAAACTCTCCTGAACATGAACAGATGGATCAACGAGGATTGTTGGAATAAAAAAACTTAATTCTATTAACACAATTTTAAATAATTAGTACATAACTATATCTTCCTTTTTTCGGGGAAATGGTTTTAGACAAAAGATGAGGACAAAAGAAGATGTATATTTTCCTAATAACTCTCCCCCCACCCTTTCAGAAAATCATTTATTTTCCCAAGAAGCGTTTTTTTTTCAGGAGTTTTTGCTGAATTGGGGAAAACAAACCATTGAATTGTGCAATAAAACCAAGAGTTTGCTTAATACTTCCTTATTTTATGGGAGGGGGAGGGGGGTAGAAAACATACACCCCTGATACACTACTGCTGTACACTATGCTAAGCTAACGTGCCGGTCACCTCAATTTTTATTTAAATTCCGGTTCCATGGGGACTGGGCAGGGTTCGTAGTTATTCGGAGATAACAGCTGCCTCATAATACATAGATAGATACACTGTAAGGTGTACAATGTACATACCTTCGGTAGTTGATCAGCTGGTGTACTGTTTAACCTTCCAACATGATTTTGCTGTTGACTAGCATCTAGCAGGTACCTACACAAAAATTAATGAATCAAACCAATACAGCAATCAATGAATCACATGGTTAAGCGATCAATCAATAAACCAATGAATATCCATCAACCAACTAATGAATATCCATCAACCAACTAATGAATATCCATCAACCAACTAATGAAGATCCATCAACCAACTAATGAAGATCCATCAACCAACTAATGAAGATCCATCAACCAACTAATGAATATCCATCAACCAACTAATGAATATCCATCAACCAACTAATGAATATCCATCAACCAACTAATGAATATCCATCAACCAACTAATGAGGATCCATCAACCAACTAATGAATATCCATCAACCAACTAATGAAGATCCATCCACCCCATCAATCAAGCTACAAATCAATCCATCTATCCTTTAACTAGTCAACAAATCAATTTATCGATCAAATCTAGTGACTTTACTGTTTTAAACGGTTAAATTCAATCTTCTGCATGATCTATTTTTGTGGTCACGTAGTGTATTGACCTGTCGTCTTCTATTTTACAAGATAAATACATCTCCGTGTTCCCGACTATACTCCACCATAGCAGATCGTTTGTGTCTCTACAAGTCAAACAGTACATTATACTTTGCATCTACGATCATCTACTATTCTATTTTTCTACGATCATTGATTACTTTTTTCTCATTTTTTCTTTTACAATTGGAGATTTATAACTATAAAATCAGAGAAAAATTGAAGAAAAAAAATCGGGGTTGTTTTATAATTTTTGAAAACGTGTAAAAAAATGAGTAATAATTAATTAACATATATGAATGCACCATGTACTCCATATCTTTGACAGGTATGTTTGATAATGTACATAGTTTCCCTTTTGAGCATGTACGCGAGTTTGAAGCAGAGGAGTGCCGTACTGCTGCCGTAGAAGGAGTACTGCGTGTACGTGAAGAGGATTCTAAACAAGTTTAAGAACATTGTACAGTTCATGCTAAATTAATAGGTAGATTTTAAGGGTGCATAATTTTATGTGACATCACTATTTGAAGAAAACAAAAACAAGAAAAAATGATTTAAACAAGAATGTTTCATGAAAAATTAATACTATTGCAGGGGAAAAAATCTTCGTCCCTTTTTTATTAAACAAATTAGACATTCATGTTCGTCATCTCACCTTTGTCTTTTCTCCTCCCATTCTCGTCTTTCCCGTTTCTTGACTAATGCTGATTCGTCGAATTTTCTCCGCTTCTCACCGAATTCGTCCTATTTTTTGTTTATATTTACAAAAATCCGAGTTTAAAAATTAAAATTACGAAAAATCTCTTTTTCTAAAATGTATATTTTTCATTGGATTTTTAAAAATTATTTCCTCAGAATCACTTTCTTCGCTTTCACTATCCCTAAAAAGTAAAATGAAACAATAGATAAAATAATTAACTAGAAAACTTTATAAAACACACTTTATTTAATATTTCTGGCAAAAATAGGTAAAACAGATAAGTGAAACTTTCCATTTTATTTAGCGATAACTTAAGAAGTCAAATCAAATTAAGTTTAAATCTGAAAGGAACCCAAACGTGGACTGCCTTCATGGCGCTACACACCACCGTGTTGGTCTTAAACCTTTAATTAGTCTTAAACCTGAATATATCATGGTAGTCTGGGAGCTGGTCTTCAGGATCTGGTGGATGTAGCAGACGTATTTGTCCATCGTTATAGATATTGGTTACTTCTACAGGCCTTAACAAAAAGGGGGAATGAGACGGATTCGTCCATTTCTCTGCAAAATTGAAAAATGGTTCAAGATTTTAAAAAAAATCTATACGTTTAAGCAGTAAAATCCGCAAAAAAAGTGTTATTGTGAATGGGAACCCGGTGAATATATGGTGGCTTGGAAAGCAACAGTTCAAAGTTCAAAATGTTAGAACTGAGGCAGAACTTTCCCAAGTGATGTCGAATCTTTTTTGATGATAAATAGATTTTAAACAAGTAAAATTTAGATGCGAGTGAAATCCAAAAACATATTCTCTCCCTAAGGAATCATAAGGAAGTGAAATCTGCAAGAGACCCCATTGTGGGCCCCCCAGACCGCCCAGGCAGCAGGGTGCACTGCCCTTCCCCTGCTCTAACTAGACCTTTAAATCCCCATCTTCTAGTCCCTAGGGCAACAAAAATATATTTACGCTCTTCCCAAGAAAAAGTTTAAGATCAAGAATAATCAAGGTTAATTAATAAGGTTGCTCAGAATGAGAAAAAATCAAATAAATCAGTGTTGATCACCTATGATAATCTGCGACGAATATAATAACGTCATCTCTGGGTTCCAGGAACTCGTAAAGATCAAGAGTAACTCCGCAGTTAATTAGCAGCACAAACTTGTATCCCTGTCACAAGAAATTAGTTGAATTTATTTTTGAAAGGATTGTCATTTTTGAGTTCTCGGGATCTTGCATTTTAGAAAGTTTGATTTGGCAACGTCAAATTCACATTTTTACTTATTAAACTTTTGCTTAGCAAAAAAAGGAGATATTTTAATTTCTATCTGAAAATAAAAGCGATAAATTAGTCTCAGTTCAATCTCATGATTTATTCCTCATTGTGAGTCAGATAAGGGCTTAAATGGTACCCTTGTGAATCGGGAACAGTATTTTTTCTTCTTAATTGAAAGGTCGCTTTAAATTAGGTCGACCCTGTCGTCTCGACAGAGATGAAACAGTCCCCTTAATGTTGTCTGCTATACAAAAAGAGAGATCACTTTAATATCTAGTTATTCCAGTCGTTTCATCGTAGACTTCTTACTTTTGGTTCAAAGAAAAAAATGTATATATTGAGAAAATACCTGTGAATGATTATTGTACTCAGTATACATATCTTTCTTTCCTGCACACAGTTTAACACATTCAATATTTACTATCAGATACAATACAGGAGAAGCGATATATTAAATCACTATTTGGCAATCTGATTCCTTATGTAAAATGCAATCAATGCCTTTTTTAACCCAGTTGTTTACTTAAATTTTCTTTTAGTGGAGTTATAAAAAGAAACCCTCGAGCCTAAGTTATGCCAGAGATTGGGATTTAACGAAAATCAAGAAGTGGTTGATCTGGGTATAGCTAGTTGAACTACTTTATCTTGTTTCTTAACTACTCTACCTAATTTGTCTTTTTCTCAATATTTTTCGAATCTAACCTCAAGAAATTGAAAATTATGAAAACAATAAATTTTTTACGTAAAGAAAGTTCATATCTTGCTGTTTATATTCATATATCTGCAATAAATAAACTTTGCTTTTCTGTCAGTTTGTATCCAATGAACGTAAAAACACCTAAACCGATAGAGCCAAACATTTTTTGAAAGTTTACGACAAGATAAAGTTGAAAAATGTCCGGAAAAAAATATTGAAATTTTGAAAATCCACCAATAAAAACAGAGGAATCCGCGAAAATTTGAGAAAAATTTTAAATGGCGACTTTGGGCGTTAAAGTTATAATCTTTTTAGAAATGGGGGCGCAAAGCGCTGTAAAAGCCAAGTTTATACTATTATCTCTAGTGTTAAACTATCCTGTGACAGGTATGAGAGTGTAGGAAACGTTGTCACATTTGAACATGGAGAGAAGGATTTTAGCAGAACAGACAGCATCTGTGTCATTGTTAACTACAATAAGAAAGAAATATTTATTAAATAGCAGAGCTGAGAAATTTTGATGTGACAAAACAAGTTCAACAAGATCAATATTCGTCATGTGTTTAAACAGAGTTAAACTAAATCTAACTTTTACCCATCTCCAAACTAGCAAAAGTTCAAGGTTTAGAAGAATTCTGTATCAGTGAAATATAGGATTAGTAGATGAATTTCAGAATCTAAGAAGTTATACTAATGGAGTTCAAAACTTTCTTATCAAGCTAATTTAAATTTAATATTTCCGAAAGTTTACGGCTTTCTGAATATTGTTATATTATTTGTCAAAAAATATATCTGTTAGTTTTAATTCTTTTTATATCTTATATTAATCTCAGCTGTTATGAGATTAATATAAGATTTTTTTGAGCATCAAAATTGTTAAGCTTCTAAGATTTTTTTTGAATAATAGTGCATTTGTTAAAAACGAAATATAATTTATATACAAAGAAATTGAAGTTTTATGTGTCTTAAGAAATTGTATAAAGGTATACCTAATATAAGAACTCGTTCATGAAGAATCACGTCGTAAAATTCCTTCTTTAAATCCTCAACAAACATTTTTAATTTTTCATTCTGAAACAAAATTAATTTTTGTATTTTTATTGAAAGAAAAAATGCAAGTTAAGTAAAAAATTGCAGTAAAAAAGTAAACGGATATGATGACACCGTGTAAAAATCAAACCAATTATCATATTCTTCAAAAAAAAAATAGCAAAAATGAGGTTTTGGTAAATTTCTTTTTAAATTATAAATCTTTAAATATTTCTCTTTTGTATCACATCTTATTAGATTCGAAGACTTAGATTTCGGGAAGCTCAAATATTTGTTAAAATCACATTTGTAGAAAAAAATGCTTGTTAACATAATGACAAACAAAGATGATGTAAATTTTTCCAATTGTTGATTTAATGTCAAAATTCAGATCTGAGGTTTAACTTAGTCTACTCAAACTAAAGCCTGATGTTAGTCCTAGTCTACCTAGGCTCAGGATTTTTATGTTGAATTTTGTCTACCAAGTTTCTGGAGGAAGTATGGTTGGGTTGATGAGAACTTTATCTTCCTCCATTATAGCGCAGAAATATCCTTTTTGCAGATTAAAGCCCTGGAAGAAAAAATTTCAATTGTCTCAGTTAAGATCTAAAGAATCAAAGGTTTACTTCAAAAAAGTTTTCTATGGAAAATAAACGGATATTAAAAATTCTTTTATTTGGGACAGTGCAAAGGATCAATTTCATCCGCCCTATTAACAAATTGATCCGGAACCAGATTATGAACATTTCTAAAAGATTTACCGAATGTTTTACAGGTTTTCAGGGGTTTATATTTTTCAGAATATCCCCCGTATCTTAAAATAATTAAACATGAAAAGGTAAGTTATTTTTATTCTTTTTCAAACTTTGCACTCAATTATTTATCTATTTTCTCCTTAAATCTTTATTTTCACCAATTCCGGCAATAATCCTTAACATAAAAATAAAAAGGGGGGTAAATGTTTTTAACAAGAAAATATACACCCCTGCTTGTTTTGGTTGATGTTTTCACTGAAAGCCAAAATGTTGCGGCCTAATCGCTGGTTTTGGAAATAATGTCAGTTAAAGTTTTGAAAAGAAATAAAGCCTTAGATTACTTGCCTTAGTTCGAACAGACTTGGCCAGCTGTGCTCCAGCATCATCTTTCTCATCAACTAAACCGTACACACTACGATCCTGTAATTAAAACATTTTTAAAATTTTCTTACAACAGTTTCGGGATTTAAAGTCATATTGCTGAACAACAACAACAAAAACAATAAGGATTGAAACAATGAATTCTAGGTTCCCATTGGTTACTTTCCAAAAATACAGGAAAATATATTTACTCTAAAAATACAACGGCCCCCCCCCCTGTATTGAAATATTTTTTCATTTACCAAGTATGTTCTTAAGGGTATACTTTCGAACATTTGGAAAACAAAATTTTATGGGGGAAATTCCAATTGACTTTAAATTATAAAATTAAATTATCAAATTACATCCTCCGGCCCCGTAGGAAGGTAATACTTGAAAATAGGCCCCTTTCGAACATTTGCCTTGGGAAAAATGCCTAATTTTACCTTATTATAAACTGCGAGAAGAGATGATCGTCCAGAGTCCAAGGGGACCTGGACCTTGACAACAAAGGACGTGGCCTTTGGTTTCTTGATGGGACCCTTGATGGACACTTCAACCTTTGATGTCTGGTAGTTGAACCCTGAAATACAGGCGGACTGCTTGGAGAACTTAACAGGAAGATATTCCTTTCTTCTCTGCTTGCAGACAGCCTGAAACAAGGAGTATTCATTTTCAAATTTAAGTCAGATGAATTTTTGAGAAAAGAATATTTAGAGATAAAAAGCGTTGCAATCGGGAGGAAATTAACCATTTCTGCATTTAATGTGAGGCTAATATTGAACCACAGCAACGTCTAATTTATCTATAAAAAAAATTAAAATTAAAAATTGATCTACGGTATACAGTATACACCCCTTCTAATACCTTATGATTGGTCCAATCAGTTTTCTGGCAATCGGCACCGCAGTACCACTCAAGGAAACAGCCTGAATAAAAAAATGGTTAAGGAATAAACATTTATTTAAGGGACCCAATGATAGTTATAGTCACAGATTCGATTCACTACAGTACCTTTTCGACAATGATCGAGAATGGGTTTTTTTATTAAAAAAATTGACGTCTTGCGTTTTTGGATTTTTTAGTCAGCAAACTAGAGGATTTCTCCAGTGCAATATAGGTTCATTTCAAGATATAATTATTTAAGGTAACAGTATCTTTTTTTTTTAAATTAAGGTGTCCAAGGTAATGTTGCGAACCGTTGCGGAACTATGTCTAAAGAGGGTTGGTTGATGGTTATGTCAAATTTATATATGATCTAAAAAACAATTGAATCTTAATTAATACACACCGGTACATCGTTTTTCTCCAGTCTTTTTACAGAATCCGCACTTTTTCAGAAGGTTTTGTTCCTTCGCCAACACCCGTTGTTTCCCAACGGAACACTTTTCTCCTTTCTTGAGAACTTTCAACATTGCAGGGTACGTTGAAGCACACATCAACGGTGATACACCGTCATTATCCTTTACATGAGGATCTGCACCATGCTTTACTAGGAGTTCAGCACGTTCTATATCTCCTGCCATCACGCATATAGTTAGCGGGACCAAACCAAACCTTGTCGGGGCATTTGGATTAGCGCCATTTTCCAGCAGCAACTTTGCCATTTGGTAGGTGACAGAGTTCCCTTTGCCCGTGAGACAATGGTGGAGAGGGGTAAAACCTGCCATATCTCTAGTATTCACCACATCAGCTCCAAGTTCTATCAACTTCTCAAGGATCCTAAGGTGTTCCAATTCCGCTTTACCATGCAACCGTATTGTCGGCAGGAAGAACTCGGATTCCGGTACTAGAGATCTAGCTCCTATAACGGTATGGAATACTGCTCCAACACACAATAAAGTTTCGCGCATTTCTAACTTCTTCTTCAATTCAGCTGGATTCAGTCTAAAAAAACAAAAGCGTTTAATGTATAGAAATTTTTTTAATTAGACAAAAAATATGGAAGTAAGCAAAACATCTTTCAAAATGTTATGCTGGGTAAAAGAAACCAAATATAAGTGAAAAGATGAGAAAAAAGATGAGAAAAAGATTAAAAAAATATGTCTTACTTGGACACTTCGTCAATGAACTGTACATAGTTTCCTTTATAAAGGATGAGCATCCAGGCTGAGTAATGTCGGAAGTGGGGGGAAATAAAATAAAGTATAACTTTTTAAACTTAATTAATACATTTCCCAAAATAAATATTTTCCCTAATTCAAAAATAAAGAAATCCCCGTGTGGGGAACAAATTATTCTTAAAGAGAGTATATTTCAATTTCAAATAACGAAGAACTTTCCAATGACACAATGCAAAGAATCTTGGACTTTACGCCTAAGAATAAATAAATGTGCAACCTTGAAAATATCCAATTAATTCAAAAATCTTTACCTCAGGGTTTCCGCCGCGTCTCCACTTAAAGTTTCAAATGAAGGGTTTTCATATGCTACAGGAACAATACGCTCTCCAGATATAATTTCTAAATTTATATTTTAATATTATTAATAACAATATATCTAGGTATCTAAGGTTAGACTTATTTAATAGAGCGAAGTAGTTTAACTTAATGATAAAGTTAAATTACTTTTTAGTGCGGCTGAGAATAAGAGTAAACCCAAAAACCTCATTTTTAGATTATTAAAAAAACATTTTTGATAAGGGAGAGGGGACAACTTTTGGGTTCATTCGAGATTTTGATATTTACTGATATTTATTTACTTTACCTTGAATAGTTTGATATATTTCTGCTTCAGCAACTTTTTTGAGACGAGCTAATCGTTTGGCCTCTTTAGTAGCCTAAAAAAACTTTTTTAAACATTTTATCAGGTTAAAAAAAACCTAAATTTTACACACCCCCCTCCCTCTGAAAAAAAACTGGTGTAAAATGTACATATGTCACTGGTTGTATACAGAGAACTTACAACTTGACAGGAAACAGTAAGCAAAAATATAATTGAGTAGTTGGATAGATGAATTTAATAGAACCTTGATTTAGTCTCTGCATTTCGAGTTAACATTGAGGGTATCTTAGTAATAGTAAGATGGAACTGAACACATATTATTTTAGAAATTGGTTGAGAGTAATAGTATTAACAATATAAAATGAAATAATGGAACTGATTACTCTCTTCATATTCTTATTTTGAAATCCTTATATATTTTCAACCCTTGATATTTAGACTATTTATTCAGCTTTAACGATTATAGTCAAAATTACCATGGAAATGGAAAAGATGCAAAAACAAAACATTTAACATCAATGATAAGCACCGATGGGTCTGTCCTAGTGAACGATTTTTGGACCCCCTCCCCCTCATATCAGTTTTGTACATGTGAGGCAATTAGTAAATTATTGTTTATTTATTATTATTTAGGGTTAGGTTAAGACACTTTCCGGGTCGAGCGCTGCAGCTAGGATAGGCTAGGGGGCCGAGCGCAGCGGCCACGGGTTAGGTTGGTTGATACACTTTCTGGGCCGATCGCTGCGGCTAGGACAGGCTAGGAGGCCGAGCGCTGCGGCTACGGGTTAGGTTAAGTTAATGCACTTTCCTATTATTTTAGACCATGCATTTCAGGTCTGGCTCGTCTGGCTAGCTAGGTCAAAATCTTTGCGGAAGCTGCTGCTCAGACGGCATAACGCTACGGCTAAGACAGAATATAGGGCCGGGCGCTGCGGCCACATATCCAAATATGCCCCTGACGTCTTCTTATTATAAAAGTACGAATGATCCACAACAATTCACAACACTGTGACTGAACACAGGACAGCTGAAATAAAATTGGCGGTATTTCTCTACTGAGCGTTAATGCCGCGACACGTTGTTACAATAGGCCGTGTGAAAAATAGGGGTAATGTTACATCATCTATACGCAACATCCCCCCTACTGAACATCTGACCTACTAACTTTCCGACCTACTGCAATATAGGACCTACGCCAGCTGTATATTTTAGTATTATTTGAGGGTTAGGTTAGGTTAAGACAATTTCTGGGCCGAGCGCTGCGACTAGGACAGGCTAGGAGGCCGAGCGCCGCGGCTAGGAAAGGCTAGGGGGCCGGGCGCTGCGGCCGCAAGTCCATTTAGCAGCTGTAATACCACGTGTTAGTAGGTCGGATGTGTAGTAAAGCGGAATTTGCGTAGGTCAGAAGAATATGGTGGATATGTATAGGTCGAAAAATACACCACCAAAATAAAAATACTTTTATTGATCTTTGGTATCAAACAACTTAACAAATTATGGAAAATATTCACCAACTTTCATGTTTCGTGGGACACCCTGTAGATATTTGAATATAAGTAATTGATTTAATATGGATTTAAATTTAAAGAAAGAATTAATCTAAAAATTGGTCAATACAAGTGTACAGTGACGTAAACATATCACGTGATGTAAACAACCGCCGCTCTGTACAATTAAATAGGGAGGTTGGTTGTGTACATCTGAGTCATCTGTGCTTCTTCAACTCTTCGTTATATTACTCGAGCGAGCATTGCAGGAAGGGCTTTAGATATTTGGATTATTTCGATCTCGAGCGGTTGCCGTTATTTACTCTGTGTTATTTTGAGCTAGTGTTCCATGAATACATGGGAATTAAATAATTCAACTGATCACGTCTTTGTTCCATGCGGGATTATTTCATAGAAGTTTCACAATTGAAACATTTAAAACACCGAAAACTATATATACTAGAGTCGGGATAATTCCGAAATGGTCTATTATTTTTACCTTCAAAATTGACGTGAGATATTAACAGAGGCGCAACTAGGGGGGGGCGGCCGGGCGCGCGCCCTCCCCTAGCACCTGAGAGGGGGGGGCGCCCACCCCCCTGCAGAATGAAAAGAAAGAAAGAATGGCAAAAATCAGTATCACAGGAATAAGAAAACCAA